GTTTAAGCATTCAAATGAAGGAATACTTTTTCATTCTACCAGTGAATAGATTTTATGACCTATCTACAACTTTGGCATTTGCAAACTCTGGTTAAACAAAGATAGAGAGTCCCTTTGATCTTTAAATCATGAAAGTTAAGCAGTGGCTACAAAGAAAATGGATTACCTTGACTAGGTAAAATAGTTATATTTGTGAAAGTGACCAAGTATAAATAAAACATAGCAAACCAAATCTGATTCTCAGACACAATACTTTCATCTCTCTCATATTTAGGCAATGAGAGTCAGGCACTAACCTAATGATGCAATTTAACTCAGTGTGGGTGGGGAGTGGGAAGACAGATACAAGTGCTGGAGATGAGACAAGAATGGCAGAATGCAGAGAATTGTTAAAACTGGGTAATGGGTACATGGCAGTTCATTATACTCTTCTATTTACTTCATATATGTTTGAAATTTTCCAAAATAAGAAATGGTTTAGCCAACTTTGCAAAAGGCTCATATTGTCTTCCTCCCATGACTTACTACTTTGAGAGATTCCACTGGCAGAATAATAATAGCTAGTCTTTACCTTATTGTCCTATGAGCACACATAATGTTGAAAGAAAAAGATTACTCAGTAACTTTAAAAAATTTGGATAATGAAACTTTGGCTTCTTCTTGAACTTGAGAGAGGTTTTGGAATTATTTCATTGACTTTTTAGCAGATTGTGAATTCAGTTAAAATTTTTTGAGGCAAAACAAACAAACAAAACCTCAGAGAAAAGCCTTACTACATCCTAAGCAACTAGTTGAGCTGCAATAAATTATCCCATGTTTCTTGGCAATCCTACTTTTTGTCTCTGAAATACAAAGTATTAGGTTTTTAAGATTTTAAGTTAGCAAACAGACCAAATTTTCCCGAATGACAATTGATACAATTAGTACACAATGGAGAGAGGTTGTTATTATATGAAGTTAGTACACAATGGAGAGAGGTTGTTATTATATGAAGTTTGAAACAAAGAAAAAATTTTGATCATATAATACATCTCTTTTATTGAAAAAGTATGATGTGTAAGCACAAATGTCTCTCAAGCTTCAGCAGGTCCCAACTTCAAGTAGTTAGGGATTATGAACTCATGAGTACTCTGTATACTCTCTTACAATTTTTTTCTTTAAATATCATATTCCTTGAATTCATTCAAACATTTATTGGAAGCTTGCTTTATGCTAGGCACAGATCTGTGTGCGGGGGACAAAATAAGACGAGTCTTCCCAAGAATTGCACTGTTTTAAAATGTTCCCAATACTTAAATCTCTGCCTACTCTTAGCTGTTTTATTTTATTTTGCGGGTGGCTGGCCAGTGCGGGGATCAGAACCCTTGACCCTGACCTTGGTGTTATAACACTTTGTTCTAACCACCTGAGATAACTGGCCAGCACCTCTTTTTTTAATTACCCTTCTGTGGCCACTCTCCAGCTGCATTAACTTTTTTGTGAGTGTTGTTTCTCAATATTATTACTATTATTATTATAACAGCTTTATTGAGATATAATTCACATACCATACAATTCACCCATTTAAATTGTACAATCCAATAGTTTTTAGTATATTCAAAGTTGTGCAGCCTTCCCCACAGTCAATTTTAGAACATTTTCATTACTCAAAAAAGAAACCCTGTGCCCAATAGCAATCACTCTATTTCTTCCTATCTCCCTCGACCTTGTGCAACCACTACTCTACTTTCTGTCTCTGTGGATTTGCCTATTCTGGACATTTCATGTAAATGGAATGATACAATATGTGATCTTTTGTGTCTGGCTTCTTTCACTTAGTATGATGTTTTCAAGGTTTATCCATGTTGTAGCATGTATCAGTACTTCACTTTTTTTCTCTCAGCCAGATATGTATGGAAATACCATATTTTATTTATTCATTCATCAGATAACGAACGTTTGAGTTTTTTCCACTTTTTGGCAATTATGAATAAAGCTGCTATGAACATTAGTGTTTAAGCTTTTTTTGTGGACATACATTTTTATTTCTCTTGAGAATACTTAGGAGTGAAATTGCTGGGTCATATAGTAACTCTGTTTAACATTTTTGGAGAATTGCCAGACTTTTCTAAAGCATTAATTCCATTTTACATTCCCACCGTTAATGTACAAGGATTCCAAATTCCCCACATCCTCACCAACATTCATCTGTCTTTTTTATTTTTGCCATCCTAGTAGGTGTGTGGTGGTATCTGTGGTTTTGATTTGCATTTCTCTGTTGGCTAATGACGTTGAGCATCTTTTCATGTGCTCATTCATTAACTCTTGAGGTTGACTTGCCAGGTCCTTTCTAATGCGGGAGAACTATGGCTTTGTACCACCAGGAAGTTTTTATTGTTTCTTTGTGCCTAGACCATTAGAAGAATTAATGAATACTTTTGCTTCCAATGAAGCTCAGCTGATGCCCAGGTATGGTGAATGAATGGCTGTTGGGAAAATAGAATAGTTTGGTCAGGGCCCTCGCCTCTGGTCCAGTTGGGTGTGGTTCAGCACGTCCATTGTACGCAAATTTGTGTGTGGAGTTGGTGCGCATGTGCACCAATGTATCTTTTTAGTTTTGTTGCTATTCTTGTGTTCTTGGGGGGGAGGGCAGAGATAGAATTTTAGTGAAGCAGGTGGGCAGGCATCTGCCTTCGGAGCCATCCTTTCCAAACTACAGTTACGAAAGACCTTTTGGCTGGTTACCTAGCTCATAGACCTGCGTGAAGGGGTCTGGTGACCAAGCCTAGCGTGTGATGGGTTTGTGACCCAGTCCATGAACGGGCTTGAAGGGTCTGGGAGCTCCAGACCCAGCCCTAGATCAACAATTGGCCCAGTCGGCAGGATTACCGGTAGGTAAAAGAGCCCCACGACTGGCGTGGTCGTGGAGCTAGACAATTGGCCTCACGAACAGGATTATTAGCTCCACAATTGGCGCTGTGAGGATTCCAGGCATCGCTGCAGAGCGCCACAGTGACCTTTTGTGCGTTTTTCCTGTGTAAGAAGTTACATTATCTGAGCAACACTTAAAGCAAGAAAAATAAGCTGACGTATTATTTCAGTATAAGGCAGTGGCCTGGCTCTGTGTGTGTGTGTGTTTTAATCTGACATAGTACATACAAGCAAATCTATTAAGGCATAGAACAGTCTTAGGCTCACATGGAGAGCGAAGTGACATCTTCATGTTCATTTAAATGCTTAAATCCTGGTTGAGTTAGAGGTAAGAGAAAGAAGTGTAGGAAAACCAAATGAGTGTCATCCAGTCCAGTTGAAGAATTCGATACCTTAATTTACAACCTCACTTTTTCTGTCCGAAAATGTCAATTCCAAGGGATCACGCGAATTCTTTCACTGTGCTAGGATTTTGGTTATTTTGAACTTCGCTTTAAAAGAGCACGTGGTTCTCCAAGTGTTTTCAATAAACCTTGTTTTCAAAGGCCGCGTCCTAGCGTGTGTAGCTGCCGCTCCTCACCGGACCCTCGAGTGGGGAGAACAGGTCATCCCCGAGTGCAAAGCGGCGTGAACGTCACAGGAGGCCCTGCTCTGACGGTTACAACAAAAGCCTTCAAGCCAACCGGCGTCTTCATTTACCGTGGCCCTTCCCGCCCTCCCCGCCCCGGGAACTCGCCTCCCACCTCAGTAAGCCCACTCTCTGCTGCAGCAAGTCCCTCGGGAGACGCGGACTCCCATTTCAGCCACCCAACCAGGAAAGCCGCTCCGGAGAGCGCCTCCCGCCACGCCCAGGCCCGCCCATCTCCTCTCGGGGCGGAACGGAGTCAGGCCCCGCCCACCGGGACCCCGCCCCTTAATTGGCTCTGGTGACCGACCCCCCCCCCCCCCCCCCCCCCCCCCCCCC